GGTGAAAGGCTATCTAAAATCTAAAGTAGCAAGAAACTAAGTATCAGAAGGCAAGCTAAAGGTAGCAAAAGAGAAACAAAAAGTAACAAATAGCTAGCTAATAATGGGAAAACACTAGCTAATAGAAACAAAACACTAAAAGCTAAAGAGGGTGAAAGGCTATCTAAAATCTAAAGTAGCAAGAAACTAAGAATCAGAATGCAAGCTAATGATAAAAGTAGCAAATAGCTACCTAATAATAGCAAAACACAAGCTAAATGCTAAAAGTAGGAAAACACTAGCTAATAGAAACAAAACACTAAAAGCTACAGTGGGTGAAAAGCTAAAATCTAAAGTAGCAAGAAACTAAGTATAAGAAGGCAAGCTAAAGATAACAAAAGAGAAACAAAGTAGCAAATGGCTGGCTAATAATAACAAAACAGCAGCTAAAACAGATAATTTATTGGTTAAAAGCAGAAAAATACCAGCTAAAAAATAAAATGTAAAAAAAAGGCACAATGAAGGTAAAAGTAGCTAAATGCTACCTATAGCAAAACCCTTAAAGCAATAAAAGTTGTCTAAAAGTAGCAAAAAGCTAGCTAAAAGTAGTGAAAGGTTCGCTAAAACCTATAGTATAAAGCAGCAAAATGGGAGCTAAAGACTACAATTTTCAAGTGACTAGCTAAGAAATAATAGCTTGGGTTGAAAAGTAGCAAAACTACAGTTAAGATAAAATGTAGCCAAGGACTAGCTTAAAGCTAAAATTAGTCAAATGCTAGCTTAAAGTATGGAAAAGCTAGCTAAAACATGTAGGATAAAGCAGCAAAATGGTAGCTAAAGGCAAGAAATGACCAATGTTTAGTGAAAAAGATGCTCTGAGTCTGAAAACAATGTCCACGGCTAGCCAAGAACTGGTCCAGCAGCTAACATTCATTTAGCCTGCATTAGCATACAGCTAATAATGCTACTGTTTTATAACCTCGTGTTTTAACAGTCTTGACTAATCACCTCCCTATCTGATGGGATTTTTTGGAGCTGTTTGACTCTGTTAGCTTGTTAGCTTCCTCTACACAACACAATCAGATTCTCTGAGGCTGAAACCTTTTTGATCCAGATCTCAGCGTGGACATTTTTTAAAAACGTCTATAATCAAAAGTCTTTTAATTAGTTTTAAATAAATAATGAGATTTACAGAAGATATACTGAAGAAAACTGGCATAATACACATGATTTTACTCATTTTGACACGTTACTGGCCTATTTCCTTTTGAACTTGGTTCAGCTAAAATGAAACAGGAAGTGACATCAAAGGGGAACTCTTTAATAAAATAAACACCCTGGTCTTTGTTTATTGAAACAGTTTATTTAAACCTTAACTCTTCTTCATCTCTCTGATAGAGACTCAAAATAATCTAAAGAAACTTCTGCTTCTCTAGTCTGTGTTGTTAGCTGTTGTAACAACGCTCTGTTTACATGCAGACATTCCCCTTTGACATCACTTCCTGTTATTTCATATGCAAATATATCAACAAATGTCAATCTCAGCGGCATTTATTACAAAAAAATTCCGTCACGGGCACTTTAATGGTTGTAGTTATATTTCAGAGGGATTCACTTTGTCATCTGAGCTCAGCTGAGGCTCACGTCAGATTGTTAGTTTATCTTTTTACTTTTTGCAGAGTTTTTAAGCTTCTTTATAAACCTTGGTCATCATCAGTCAAAGGTTCAGGACTCAATCAGTCTGAATTAGAGTCTTCTGAGGGAAAATATAAAGTTTTTAGATCATTCACAGAGGAAGAAGACATGAGGAAGATGTTTTATTATCAGTCTGAGCTGATTTTAAATCAGGCACATTACTGATGTTAGAAAACAATTGAATTTTATGTATTTTTTTATTCCTAGAGGTGAACGATTATACAACATCATAACATTAAGTTGAACTAATCATGGATTTTCTCTAAAATACACAGACCCAAGACAAGTTCAAGTATTTACATAATACATACATGACTTTAAAATCAATATTAACTTTAAACTCAACTTTGACAAATCAATCAAGTGTCAGAAAAGAGCTTCCATAGACCTGAGGCTGCAGTGAAGTCAAACAGGAAACAAGTCGTTTAAAGGAGCAGGTCTGGGATCTGATCTGCAGTATTGGGGGTAAACCTGGTTTTGTTACCTTTTTGGATGTTTTCTGATAAACAAAACTTGTCAGGAGTCTTTTTTGGGATAAAAACCCAGTTGTAATACGGTGGAGTCGGGGGGACGCAGAGGACCACTGGTTGTATTTTCTGTTATTGAACTGGTGGATTTTCACCCTGCTGGTGGCAAAGATCGGGCCAGAGGTGGGCCGAGTTCTTAGAGTCCAGCCTTTTCATCCCGGGCCTCTGCTGAAGACGTGTGATGTCACAGAATAAGTTGGAGCTGCTGATCCCATTCAGGTTTTTTTACTTTCTGCTGAGCTGTTACAAAGAGACACGGTGCTTTCTAAAAATAAACCGTATTGTTGTAAATAGGATGAAAGAACCGACATGAACATGTCCAGACATGTTGCTCACATATAGATCAGCTGTTTTAATTCAAGACCACAAGGTCTGAGAATCGTGGAACAAGTTCAGAAACTGCCAGCTGAAGACGCTCAGAACATTTTGATTTTTAACATTTCAGCATTTTAGGTTTATTGGAATAAACTTCTGTTCTCTGCTAAAGTATAGAGTGAATGCTGAGAGCTAAATGACAGCCGAAATCTGCTGTTGAAACTGAAAATGAGTTGTTGAAGGTAAAAAGGCAGAAAAACAGCTGAAAGATAAAGAGCAAATTACAAGTAAAAAGTAAAACACTAGGTAAAAGCTAAAGGTAGGAAAACCCTAGCTATTAGAAACAAAACACTAAAAGCTAAAAGCAACAAGAAACTAGCTAAATTTAGCAAAAGATTTGATAGAAGTGGAAGTGATAAATAGCAAAATGGTAGCTAAAAGCTGAAAGTATCAAATCACTAGCTAAAAGCAATAAAAAGTTGGATAAAAATTAAAGGTAGAAAAAGGTTGGGTTAAAATTAAAAATGGTCAAATTCTAGCTAAAAGTAGTAAAACACTAAAAGCCATAAGTTTGACAAAAAGCTAAAAGTAGCAAAAAGCTAGCTAAACGTAGTGGAAAGATAACTAAAAGGAAAGCTAGCTAAAACATACAGTAGAAAAAGGTTAAAAAGTAGCTAAAATAATAAAAGGCTGGCTAAAAATAGAAAAATGCCAGCAAAAAATTAAATGTAGCAAAAAGACTAACTTAAAGCTAAAAGGAGTCAAATCAATGCCAGGTAAAAGTAGCCAAGAAAAAGCTAAAAGTAACATAAGAGCCTAATAACAGAACTAACAGATTTCAAACAGAACTATATTTTTGAAAGAATTAAGGAGATCTTAATGTATTTTTTATGAGAAAAATATTTGTAAACAAAGTTAAATCTTATGAAAAGTATAAACTAAAACCCAAAGTCATCACCTGATTGAGCTGAAGGCTTTGATTTAAAGTTTAAATGCTGAGTCATGATTTACTTTTATAGAAGATAGAAGGAAATCTGAGTTAAGTTTATAGCTGCTGTCTGATCATCGTCGTGGCTCAGCTGAGTTCAGGGACAATGGGCTAAAAGTTTCAGCTAATTTCAGCTGCTTTATTTAAAGTTACATTTAGCATTTAGCATTTAATAAAGTACTATTAGCTCACCTCAGCTCGTTATGTGTCAGGACAGGTGAGTGTGATCACGTGCAGCAGGAAGAGGTGCACACATGCTGACTTCAGAAGCAAGGCTGCTGTTATACAACACTCAAACTCAACAGCCTCTCTCACAACCCCGGGGGTTGCATAAGAACCATCTGAATACAGAGTGACAGACAGTAATGGATGCTGCGCTTCAATCAGACCAGCCTGTTGTTTACTTTTATCACAGAATGTTAGTTTTTAATCCTGTTGATGAAGTCACCTTTACATCTGACCACTGAAGTCTAAGTCCAGAAAACCAGAGCAAGATGTGACTATTTGATGTTTATTTTATGGTTTTGAGTCTTCCTCACCTGATGTATGTTTTTACAGGCCATGTAAATAGTCTTCCTCACCTGATACATGTTTTATTAGTATATGTTCTTACCAGTCATAAAGTCTTCCTTGCCTGATATTGGTTTTTACAGGCTAAAGACATAGCTTTCCTATTCCTCACCTAGTATGTTTTTACAGGCCATAGAAATAGTCTTCTTCACCTGGTATATGTTTTTACAGGCCATAGAAAGAGTCTTCCTCACCTGGTATATGTTTTTACAGGTCATAGAAATAGTCTTCTTCACCTGGTATATGTTTTTACAGGCCATAGAATGTCTTCCTCACCTGGTATATGTTCTTACAGACCATAGAAAGAGTCTTCCTCACCTGGTATATGTTTTTACAGACCATAGAAAGAGTCTTACTCACCTGGTATATGTTTTTACAGGCCATAGAAAACATCTTCCTCACCTGGTAAATGTTTTTACGGGTCACAGAAAGAGTCTTCCTCACCTGGTATATGTTTTTAAAGACCATAGAAAGTCTTTCTCACCTGGTATATGTTTTTACAGACCATAAAAAGTCTTCCTCACCTGGTATATGTTTTTACAGAGCATAGAAAAAGTCTTCCTCACCTGGTACTGTATATGTTTTTAAAGACCATAAAAAGAGTCTTCCTCACCTGGTATATGTTTTTACAGACCATAGAAAGTCTTCCTCACCTAATATATGTTTTACAGACCACAGAAAGAGTCTTCCTCACCTGGTATATGTTTTTACAGACTATAGAAAGCCTTCCTCACCTGGTATATGTTTTTACAGGCCACAGAAAGAGTCTTCCTCACCTAATACTCTAAATGTTTTTACAGACCACAGAAAGAGTCTTCCTCACCTGGTATATGTTTTTACAGGCCACAGAAAGAGTCTTCCTCACCTGGTATATGTTTTTACAGACCACAGAAAGAGTCTTCCTCACCTGGTATATGTTTTTGCAGGCCATGGAAAGAACCACAAAGATGCAGCATCTGTGCGAGCCACACACCCCATTCCCGCCGCCTGTGGGATCTACTACTTCGAAGTGAAGATTGTCAGTAAAGGTCGAGACGGGTAAGAAGACACAAAACCACATCTTCTGTCCTGACTGGTTTAAGTCTGGAATTGTTGTCCAGACCTTGTTGTGTGAACAAAAGCTCCTCCAGTTTGTCCTGACTTTTGATCATCAAGCCTTGATTGTACCTCCAGTAAAAGCCTCTACCCTCCTCACTTTCATATCTCTGTGAGCTCCACAGATACAGAAACACTGTAAAAGTGACAAAAACAGACAAAGTTATTTTATTGCAGTGATTAATTTTACCTTTAAGTAGAAATG